CGCGTGCCACCCCGGTGCCGTCAGACGCAGATCTCTATTGCTGTGGCCAGGACCATCTGCCCTTTGCCTTTGTCCTGCCGTCCGTCTGTCCTGCTCGCCGTCCCCGGGGGGGCCGCGCTCGGCTCGGAGCCGCGGGGTCCGCTCCCTTCGGTCAGGACGGTCCTCTTGAGCGGGGCTGGGGTGCAGGAGCCGGCCGCCTGGTGGCGATGACCGGCCGGGAGCTTGGCCGCGGCGTGCTTGCGGGAGCGGTAGGAGGGTCGGCGCCGCACCTCGGCCATCAGGTCGCACTTGATGAAGTAGAAGACCTCCTTGACGGGACAGCGCTTCTCGGGGTCGAGGGCCAGCAGGCGCTGGAACATGCGCAGGGCGCTGTCCGTGAAGCGCCGCCACTGCGAGGGCAGCCCCCCCAGCCGCCCCTTCTGCCACCGCACAAACTCCTCGAAGAAGGCGTCGGAAGCCGCCGCCGCCTCCCAGGGGAAGTTACCGGTGAGGACGCAGAAGATGAGCACCCCGAAAGCCCAGACGTCGATGCTGGTGTCCACGGCAAAGCCCTCCGCCCGGCCGGCTTGGCAGACCTCGGGCGCCGTGTAGGGGATGGTGCCGCTGATGCGCTTGACCCGGCAGCCCACCTTGCGGGTCATGCCGAAGTCGGCCAGTTTGACGCGGCGGCAGTCGCGATCGAAAAGCAGGACGTTCTCCGGTTTGATGTCCCGGTGCACCAGGCTCTTGCTGTGCATGTAGTCGAGGGCCAGGCCCAGCTGCTGCACGCAGCGCTTCACCAGCTCCTCGGGGAGCCCCACCTGTGGGCGCGGGGACACGGCGTCAGCCACCCGCCACCGAACCCCGTGGTGATCCTACCCAGCTCGGGGACCGCCATATCTGTATGTCGTTACATGCGTCTGTTCCTATCCTAGGGATGGGTGATGGGTCTCAGGACCCCCAGGGGATGGGTGATGGGTCCCAGGCCACCCTAGGGATGGGTGATGGGTCTCTGACCATCCTAGGGATGGGTGATGGGTCCCAGGCCACCCTAGGGATGGGTGATGGGTCTCTGACCATCCTAGGGATGGGTGATGGGTCCCAGGCCACCCTAGGGATGGGTGATGGGTCTCTGACCATCCTAGGGATGGGTGATGGGTCCCAGGCCACCCTAGGGATGGGTGATGGGTCTCTGACTATCCTAGGGATGGGTGATGAGTCTCAGGACCCCCAGGGGATGGGTGATGGGTCCCAGGCCACCCTAGGGATGGGTGATGGGTCTCTGACTACCTTAGGGATGGGTGATGAGTCTCAGGACCCCCAGGGGATGGGTGATGGGTCCCAGGCCACCCTAGGGATGGGTGATGCGTTCCAGGCCACCCTAGGGATGGGTGACGGGTCCCAGACCACCCCAGGAGATGGGTGATGGGTCTCAGGCTACCCAGGGGAAGGGTGATGGGTCCCAGACTTCCTTGTAGGCGCTTGTGGTCGGGGCTGACCCACACAGGGATGGCCAGTCCCCGCACATGGGGCCCCCTCCCCCGTGGCCACCGAAGCACAGCGGCAGCTTTGCTCAGCGCCATGGGGATACTGAGCCCCCACACCCCGAAAAGGCTCCCCGGGGAGGGGTGGGGGCTCCCACCTGCGGCGGGATGATGTCGAAGAGGTCGCCGCCGGGGGCATACTCCTGAGCGAAGACGTAGCAGTCCTCGGTCTCGAAGACCACGTCGAAGACCTTGATGATGAAGGGGCTGGAGGAGAGCGTGTTGGTGATGCTGAACTCCCGCAGGAAGTTCTTCAGCTTCGTCTTGCTCTTGTTGACGAACTTCAGGGCCATCTTGGTGCCTGTGGTGGGCAGGGGATGGGGGTGAGCCCAGGGCACGGTTGGGACATGCCGGGCACACCGCTCCCAGCGCAGCTGCGACCCCCGCGTCGCCCCCCCCGGCTCCCCTCACCTGTGCTTTTGTGGGACACCAGGTCCACCTTGCCGTAGGTGCCCTTGCCGAGCTCGCGGATGAGGTCGTAGTGCTTGCTGATGTCGGTGCCCGAGAGGGTGCGGATGGCCAGGGACTGCATGTCCTCGGTGATGAGGGGCACCCCGCAGCAGGCCAGCTTGCGCGACGGCTCTTGCTCAATCGAACCCGCGCTCATGGCTGTGCTGCAAGGCAGAGGCGCGTCACCGCTTTCGGTGGGTGCTGCAAAGCCACCGCGCCCCGTCCCGTCCCGTCCCATCCCCGGGGCTGGGAGCCATGACGCCTTGCAAAGGGGCACTGGGCTGCTCGGGGCGGTGCTGAGCAGCACCCACTGGGTGCCACCCCTCTGTCCCCAGGGGCCACCAACCCAATGGCTCTAGAGAGGATGCTCCAGCCTCCGGCGGGGCTGCAGCCATGTGGGGGTGCAGTGGTCCCCGCACCTCTGACTCGGGGGGATGTCTGGGGACAAAGCGAGGGCTCAGGGCACGGCAGAGCCGTGTGGGTTGGAGCCAGGAGGGCAGGGACACAGACACAGACACACACACACACGTTTCCTCAGCCCTGGTGTGCTCACAGCCACCGCACAGGATGGGAGCTGAGGCCTTTTGGGGCTCCCCCCTGCTGCCGAAATCCCCCACAGGGACCTCAGGAGCCGGCCCTGTCCCCTCCACCCTCCCGCCTTTGCAGAGCGCCTGAGCCCCCTCCAGAGCCGAGCCTGCCCGCGAGCCAGCGATGCTCCGGAGCAGGGCCAGAGCCATGCCGCAGGCACCGAGCTGGACACGATGGCTCTGCAGCAAATCACTCCGCCATATACCTCTGACCATCCATCGGCACCGACTCGCGGCTTTCCCCTACCAGGGTGCCGGACGCTCTGGTGCAGAGCCCGGCCAGCAGCGCACGGACGACAGCACCGATGTTTCTCACTCCCGACAAACCAGCGGCGGGGGGTTGCCGCC